CGGCCCGCGGACCTGCACGACGCGCATGTCCAGGCCGGTCTCGGAGGAGAGCTGCTCGCGCACGTGGCGCGCCGGCTTGGGCGAGTTGTTGTAGGCGCTCTTCAGCGTCTCCAGCTGCTTGGCGGTGATGGTCGTGCGCGGCCGCTTGGCCGTGGCCTCCGCTTCTGCATTGGGGACGGCCGGGTGAGGAGGGCCTGCCCCACGCGCTCCCAATCACCTCCCGCAGGCCCCGCTAACTCTCGGCCGGCCGTAGGGCGGAGAAGCCCGCCGCCGGGCCGCCTGGGTGGGGTGGGGATAGCGGAGGCGCAAGGGCTTCGGACCGTGCCCTCCCTCCGCCTCGCACGCCAAGCTGCAGCGCGCCCTGCCCTGCACGGCGCCCCATCCTTCCAAGAGCTGCGTGGAGGACCGGCTTTCCTGGTGCAATTTAGCACGTTCCCTACCAGCCTCCAAGCGGGCGCAGCGCGCAGCGGGAGGAGAGCCCGAAGCCGGTGTCCCAGCGGCGGCGCGGCCGCAGGGGAAGGCGTTTGAAAACTCAGCGCCGGAGTCCTTCAGCTGCCCGTGCCCCCGCCGTGGCCCAATTAACGGGGTGAAAGGCAGGCAGGTGCCCAGGCCCGGCCCGGCTTCCTCACTGACCCCGCTGCTTGGCAGTCTCGTAGTCCGCCTTGCAGACAAGCCGGCTGTCCTCCATCAGGTAGAACTCGTCGCCCGTGGCCAGCTGCCGCTTGCACACGACGCAGGCGAAGCAGTGCAGGTGGTACACGAAGTCCTGGGCGCGGCGCACCACCTGCGTGGGCGGGATGCCCAGCTGACACGCGGCGCACTTGGTCCCGAAGCGCCTGCGGGCACAGGGCGGCGGCCGCTCAGTTCGCACCGTGCGGGTCCAGAGCTGCGAGTGCGCACAGCCGCCGTTGCGACTTGGCACAAGCTGCCTTGGCTCCAGGACCTGGATTCCCACTGAGCCGCTCTGGGACCGGGACAGGACCCCACCCCTGCTAGGGGCACCCCCCAACCCAGTCCCACCGCCTCCAAGATGGCTTCGTAGTAACAGGACCCCGGTGACTATCCCAGGAAGGACAAAAACAGTCTGTTGCCGAAGTTCTCCTAAAGCCTGCCTCCCTTCCTTTTTAAAGGCCTGCCTTGGTGTTCCCGAGCTGTGATGGCCCCAGCGAGGGCTATCGTCCCCAGGAAGGAGATTACAGCCCTCAGAACCCCCCTGGGGCAGCGCTGGCTCTGGCCGCTCAGAGTAGGAATCGATTAGAAGGCGGCGGGGCTTAGTCAACGGTTAGCAGTATAGATAGGATCGTTTCTCTCTTGGCAAAGAATACTTGTTGATGTCCAGCCAGGGGCTACGAGGTGGCTTGGCCTGGCTCAACTGGAGGGACAGGGAATGTGCCAAGTGGGGACGGTAATGGAAGGTCTCCCCACCCCCAGCCCAGGGGCTCCTTTCAGAGGGCAGCCGCGCACGCTGCCTGGCAGGTAGGCACTCACTTGAAGAAGTCGTCCTTGCAGTAGACGCTCTCTCCGCGGCTGAAGCAGCGCTCCGACAGCGGCGTGTGGCAGTCGCTGCACTTGAGACACTTGCCGTGCCAGTGGCGGTCTAGTGCCTTGAGGATGAAGCGGTCCAGGATGTGCTGGTCGCAGCCGGCACACAGCGGGATCTCTGTGGGCATGGGGCTGCAGTGGGTACAGCCGCCTCATTCCCCTCACTCCACCCTAAAGGCTGGCTCCCTGGCCCTCCTCGCAGAAATGGGGGAACCACCAGAGGGTGAGCAGCAAAAGGTCCCCAGGTAAGCCCGCCCAGGGACTCTGCTCTCAGAGGATGGGTCTTCCTGGTGAGCCAGTGGGTACACGCGGGCCATGCCCCTCTGCCCATCCGCCCTCACTTTGTACAACTAAGCATCCTCACTGCTGGGAAGAGCCCAGAAATTCGTCTCCAAGGCCTCTTCTGACGCCTGGAAGCATTTGTGAATGCGGGAGCCATGCTCCCACCGTCGGAACGGAGGGGTCGGTGGCCCGCGGCGCTGTCTCTGGGGGCGCTCCTCGGAGAGGACATACTTAATTGAAACGGGCCTCTGGACAAGGCCCGCCAAGCGGAGTAGTCACACAAACACGCACGGCCTCGACCGGGGGTGGGAACTCAGCTCGACCCATTTCCAAGGATCCAGTCCCGCTTCGGGCAAAAACAGAGGGACGGCCCTGGTGCGGGCAGCGGAGGTCCTCCCTCGCGCTGCCGCGACCTGTCCCCAGCGGCGACCGCCCCTGCGAGAAGTTCAGCACCCAGGCAGGGACAGCGCCATGGCAGGGCCCCGGAGTCCGCCCGCAGCGCTGCGGCCCCGCACTCCCGCCCGCCCAGCCCTGGAAGTCCAGGCGACTCCATCCCCGCGGGGTCTCGCACCCCAGCACTGGTGGGGCCTGCGGGGGCCGCACAGACTCCTCACAGCGCCCAGCAAGCTCGCTGGAGAGGCATGCTGGGCACCCACTTTCCCACAGACCTAGTTCCCCTAGCTCCCATCCCTCTCCCAGTTCCTGCTGCCAACCCCTCCCAGGAACCCTCAGGCATAAATAAAGAAGGAGAGGACAGGTGTGTGTGTGGGGGGCCCCACAACCTGGATAGAGCCTCTTTTTCTGCCAGCCCGGCACCCCCTGCTCCAATTTGCGGAGCCACAGGGAACGCTAGGTCGGCTGAGCACCTAGGCGCCGCGAGCCCGGCGGCGGACGGAGCAGGTGTGTCAGCGGGATCAGCTAGACTTGGGCCAGGGACTTTCGCCTGCGGGACCCTGCTTCCTACCCTTCCCGCCCACGTGGGGAGGTTCCGGGGGTGGCGTGGCCCTCTCGGGACCTGGCGATCGCTGTAACGTTCCCGTATGGGGCCTGGGCTGTCCCGGAGCTGGTCCCGGGCCCCAGAAAGGCTCGGGGCCGCGCGCCGCACAGTGAGAGTCTGTCGCAAACTCACAACGGGAGTCCTGAGCCGGGACGGGGTCCTGACACATACGCCCACGCAGAGCCCCTGGCCCCCGCAGGCCGGCCGTCGCTGCGACCAGGCCAGGAAGAAACGGGGACAGACCTCCCGGTCCCCCTGAGGCCCGCTCACCCACCTCTGCGCAGGTCCTCCCTCCGAGCCAACAGCGCCAGCAGCAG